TTAATGTGAAGACAAAAAATATGAAGCGTGAAGAGAAAAACAAATCAGATAATAATTAGACAAATACAAAGAAAAACATCAAATTGAGGAATACGGAACATAACCGCCCACCAAAATGCATCTGCATTTTTTATTCAGAGTCATCCAGAGGTAAAGGGCAAACTACCACTGGACGCTTCAATAAACCGTCCGTAGTTCAAACTGTGACAACCCGTACAATTCCATCAGCGCCTGGATGAATATCAGTCACCCGACCTAATTGCCAACGTAACGGTGGCAGAGAGTCGTGTTAGAGCAATACCATTGGGCCTATCCCAATGTTTGCAGATGGATTTGTCCATTTTCCACGTTGAAATTATGTGTGGAGATATTCGTTACTCCATCTGGACCAAAAATCTTGATGAAGTCTCTGAACCATCTGCCAGCGAGAGAGACGATTCAATGATAAATGGGAGAGATCATGATCTGGAGATGAGTTCAATGGCTCCAAAGTCAAGAAGTGACCCGGAGTGAGAGCTAAAAACTCGTTTGGATTAGTGCTGGTTGGACATATTGGTCTCGAGTTTAAAACAGTCTCTATTTGAATGAGCAATGAATTGAACTCCTTATATGTAGGTATTTGTTCGCCGATAACTCTACACTGATGAGATTCCACTGATTTTATTGCAGCCTCCCCCAATCCTCCGAAGTGAGGACTAGAAGGAGGAATAAATTTTCATTCAATTTGTTCTTCCTGAGCTGCATTTTTCATGAGGGGCATGAGAATTCGAGAAGCACCTACAAAGTTGGAAGCATTATGATATACGACCGCGACGGGACATAAACCGTCTCAACGCACCGAGGAACGTATCCGTAGTTAGATCAGATGCAAGTTTAATATGCAGTGCTTCTGTCGCAAAGCACACAAATAAATAGATATAAAATTTTTGCGTTTCAGATTATTGATATCTCCCTAAAGAAATCGTATAAGGGCCTTCGAAATCTGAACAAACGCAAGAGAATGGTTTTGATTTGGACACTCTAAGCGTGGGGAGATTACCCATAGGGAGTTGAATGCCAGTGGGATGTTGTCGCCAACAGGTAGGACACTTAGAGATATACCGACGAATTGTTCTTTCAGCTGACAGAATCCAGAACTTCTGAAGAAGAAAATGCAGGGCTGGCAGACCAGGGTGGAGGTATTGTTTGTGAGTATTCTCAATGATGAGATTTGTGAATCGATGGCGACTAGGTGAAAGAAGTGGATTTGTCTTGTTGTAGACAAGACCAGAGTGGATGAAACGGCCGCCCACCCTCAAGAGACCTGAATTGTCAACAAAGAGATTGAGCTCACGCAGTGACTTGCAAAGAGGTTTTTTGTTCTCTGAATCAGAGATTACCTGAGCGAATTCTTGAGATTGAACATAATTCACAAGTTTCAGCAGAGCTTGATGAGTTTCACGCTCGGTGAGATGGAAACGAGTGCGCTGAGATCTGATTAATCTAGCATTACTAATGAATGGAAGAACATATGACCAAATTCGTTTAATTTTTTATAGAGATGAATGATTATCCAACAAATCTTGTGGGATATTATCATCTTTTTGTACCAGGAGGGTTATCTCTTTCTCTTCAGAGAGAGCTTGGGAACTGAATACTAGCTGAGGAGTGGCAGAGGGCCAAAATTGAGATGATTGATAGAGCCAAAGTGGACCCGCCCACCATAACGAATGGGGTCAACTAGCTGAGACGGAAGTAATCCCCTAGAGGAGCAATCAGCAGGATTATCTTTGGAGGGCACATAATGCCATACATTTGGAGGTAATCGTTCTTGTATATGACTAACACGGTTACTTACAAACGTCTGCCATCTGTGAGGTGATGAACGAGTCCAAGCAAGATCAGTGGAAGAGTCTGACCAATGAGTTCAGGACGAATGCAAAAAAATCATGAAGGAGAGCTGCTCCACAGAGCTCGAGTCGAGGTAAAGAAACTGTTTTCAAGGAAGACACCTTAGCCTTTGCACAAACTAACCGAACTGTGACTACATCATCTACTTCATACCTAGAATAAATTACGGCGGAATATTCTTTCTCACTTGCATCAGAAAACCCATATAGGGTGCAGCTGCTGAGTGATGGATGAAAGAGGTGACGAGGAATGCGAAATTTAGACAACACAGGTAGATCAGCTTTGAACGTCGCCCAAGCGTGGATAACTTCTTCTGGGGGCTGAACGTCCCAACCGATACCGCATGTCCACGAATGCTGAATGAGTCTCTTGGCAAATGAAGTCCAAGGGCTGAGGAACCCCAAGGGATCAAAGATGCGAGCCAAGTCGGAGGGTATATTTCTTTTCGTACATTGTACGTTCTGAGAGGAGATACTAAATGAAAAGGTATCCTGAGAAGAATCCCATTTCAAACCAAGAACCTTTATAGTCGAATCTCCATCAAGATCGAGTGATCTGGACTCATTCACACAATCAGAAGATAACAGCTTAGGCTCATTGCTTTTCCATTTGTGGAGTTCAAATCCTCCTTCCTACAATGAAGAAATCATCTGAGACTTGAGAACCTGAGCATTTTCGAGAGAATCACAGCTTGTGACAATGTCGTCAACATAAAAACACGTCTTTATAGCTTCAGCTGCAAGGGGGAATTTGGAACCTTCGATTTCTGCAAGCTGCAATAATGTTCTAATTGCTAGAAAGGGTGCTGAAGCAACACCATCTGTTACGGTGTTCAGCTTGTATTCCTGGATAGGGTGATCAATTGAAAAACGCCAGATAATATGCTGATATGTCTTGTGATCATCAGCCACCAATATCTGCCGATACATCTGGCAAACATCAGCCATGAGTGCTACAGAGCGAATACGAAATTTGAGCGAAATGTTAACAAGATCATTCTGCATCTTAGGGCCTGTTAACAATGTATCATTTGAAGAGATGCCTTCCGACGTTTTTGCCGAAGCATCAATCACAACACGGAGTTTCGTACTAGTACTTTCCGGTCGCACAATACGATGGTGCGGAATTTCATAGAATTTCGCCTCAAGTTCAGGTGACTGGATGAGAGACTTAAGATCCTGTACCACGTAATCGGTCATAAATTCACAATACTGCTTATATAAAGAGTGGGGTTGAGACGTAATCGACGTTCGAGAGAGAGGAACCTTTTCATGGATATTTCGCGAGAACCAACAAATGAAGGGGCTAATGAGCGGAAGGGAAGAGAGACAATGAAACGACCAGCGCTATTTCTAGAGAGAGTCGAGGTGAAAATAATCTCAGCGAGCTCATCATCCGGGTTACCTTCACATTTTCTGGGGATTTCTTCAATTTACCAAGAATTTTTAAAGGTGGAGTCGAGTATAAATTCACAAGAACAATGTAATGAATTCAGAGACGGTGAGACAGGAGAACATGTTACTGTACCCATTAAGACCCAACCAAACACAGTGTTGAGAGCTAGTGGTTCGTTTGGGTTTCTAACTATTCTTTCTGCTTCTAGAGCTAAGGAAAGAATATCTGCACCAAGCAGAATATCAATATCAGCAGGAATATTGAATTCAGGATCCGCTAGCTTCAGATTTGAGATGTGAGATCAAGAACCAGTTTCTACATATTGGCTTAGCATAAAGTTACATACCTTCGAAAGTACGACGGCCTTGAGTTGCAGAATTGGTTCAGCGTCATGACAGGGGCGAATTTGTAGAAAGACCGCTTTGGTCGAAGAAGAATCCATAGAAATAATTCCCTGAATCGAGAAAGTAATGTTATCAAAACGTTATCCTAAGTGACTACAGCATGATCCACTGATTATGCTAATTTGCGAACCCGAATCGAGTAACGCTTTGACTTTCTGATAATGGCCAAACGCATCGAGAACTTCAATATACGCAGTTGACAAAAGAACTGTTATATTCGAAGATGAACAATTATGAGAAGTTACATTTCCTTGGAAAGTATTATTCGGATTTACAGAGACAGAGTGTGAAAATTGTTAAACAGATGGGAAATCGAAGTGACTTGAACCATCTGCAGAATTTCTTGCAGGTAACTGCTGGCTGTGGTTACTGGAAACAGCTCTAGCTGTAGGTTCATTTGAAGTCACGGTATTCGTCATAGGGTGGTTCAAGATTCAGAATTCTGATCACCCTGTATCTGTTCCAATTAAATGTCAGTAGATAGTAAATCACAAGTTGAGATAGGGACATGAGAGCCGTTTCGACCAATAATGAATAGTTTCGACACAAAAAAATGTCAAAGTTGAAAAATCTCGATTTTGAACACTTTATATCCCTGAAACCATTACAGCTAGACCCCAAGTGTGATGCATTGATGAAATCAGCTCTTCGGGGAGAATCTAAAAATGCAATAAAATACAAGGTGTTTCATTTGGAATAACAAAGTTGTTGCTTCTTTTCTTTAGAAGCGGCAACGCCGCAGGGCTGAAAATATTTTAGAAAGATGTCCCCCTCGAAAATGTAGTTGACCTGTTTCAGTTTTTTTTGATAATCCGGTTTTGGCGACCTACAGAGCCTCTGTTTCGTTTTCGGTGCCGCACCCTGTATTTGTCTAAATATGATCAATCAAGAATCAAAGTTGAACGGTCAATCCAGTTCATTTATTTTTTCATGTTTGATATGGTCATCGAGTTTGATCAAATCATCGTGATGAGATCATTGATCATCATAATAACGGTATACATATTCCTGATCAAAATAATAGTAATATGTACTTCGTTGGTATGTATGTACTTCCATATAATAACTCGCCATCGAGCTCACGAGAGGCCCTCCATTCAATTGGTATTATGTTTATGCTTTGCTACTAACTTCATACGCCACCTAAGGAGCAGCACTGTTGAATGGAACGCAACAATGTATTGTGCCAAATCATCTCGAACCATGACTATAAAAATTTTTATATTTTACTCGTTTCATAAATTGAAATTCTCTTCTCTTCCGTGAATTTGAAGTAGCAGCATTTCGATGTTCTAATTATTCGATTTCCAGGTTGATTCTACGTTGCCGTCAATTAGCTAGAGCCAGATTTGCCAAATTGAGAGCTGATGTTCTGGTTAAAATGGAACTTCTGGACAATAAACACGTCCAATCACTTGGAGGTCATTTAGTGAAGCTGATCAAAGGTTTATCAGATATGCATTCTAATGTTTTGACATTCTTCGATGGACCAGCACTATTTCCAGTAGAAGTTGATCTATCAACTAGTGCATTCCAGTATAAATCCACGACTCCAGTGGTCCAGGTGAGAACAATTTATTGTTTGATCTTCTCGAGTTGGGTGGAACAGTGAAAAGAATAATGAGTATTATTTACTGCTTTCAGAATATTCAACAGCAAGCATTTAACAGACATTTTATATTGATGAATAATAAAATTGTCCAACAGTGTCTTGTTTCTTGAGACTCTTCGGTTTATTCGCATTCTTATTATACCTATCGAATATTCCATGAATTTCTCAAGAAAAAAATTGAACCTTGAAATTATTGAAAATATGCTCTAATATTTTGTTCTCAATAAAACAGACTATTCCTTAATGAACTCTTTTTTTATATTTGATTCTTTATGAATTTTTTGTGACGTTTTTCCATTAACCCGTTTCAGTTTGAGTCAATATCAATATTTTCTGGCGCAAATTCAGTAACCATTGTTTCCATGTGACCCCACATAAAATGATCAAGATGATTCGAATCTGGAGAATTTTTCAGTAATTCTATGGTATAGTCACAATAGACCATTTGACGATATTTCCCAACCGAATATTTCTGATGAATGTGCAAAAAAGAGTGAATTTAAAAATATGAGTAGATCAATACAACCTCCAAAGAATTTCATGGAAAGCTTTCCAATACATCAATGAATAATCGACAAGTATCTCTGATATGTATCGACAAATATTTATTTTTTCACCAGGTTGATTTGGTTATTGCTAGACTCTGAATTTTATTCATCTCGGAGTAGGAGGTGTTATTTGGAATTTCGAAGTAGGGGTGGCTGGAGGTGAAAGAGATGAACATAACATCCGACTGATACTGCTGCATCACTTCCTGCTTGATATCTGAATCGACCTATTCTTCCTGACAATTGTGATCACTGCCGTGAATAGTACATTCAAAAAAGTTTCATTCTGGAAGTGATCCACCAAGAATATGAATTTCCTATAGATATGAAATATCTATTAGAACATATAATATCTGAACAAACTCAATACCAGTAAAGTAGATTTCTTCCTCTAGAGAAACTCATTCTGTGTGTAGTGAGTTCACATTTCATCACTTTCGAAGCTAAATACAATGCAATATTTTTCTGCTATATTCGGTGTCATCCAATATCAAGTACCGATGGATTGAAATGGCATGATAATTTAGATTCCATACAAATGAACATTACGAATCCTGAAACTATTGAGCCGTCCGAGCGATCTTAATTTGTGAGATGGAAGAAACGCCATCATATTCCCTGGGGACATCTATTTCATCCAGAAATTTTGCTGATTGAAGTGTCGAGATTATGATGATTATGATTATTTAATGAATACAGAAATCGGCTAGTGATATCAATAAAGAATATTTGAATGAGAATATTGTGAATAATTCATATTTGATCAAGGTTATGATGCAGAGTTCAATATTTCTTCTGATGAAATCTATGGAATACTCACATCAAGATAATTTTGGATTATCCATGTTTTTATTACAAGCTTCGATATTTGTCAGGTGTACTAAAATCCTGGTGACAATGTAAAATGAAATTTTTTGTCGACAAAATGACGTATGAGTTTCGTAATTATAATCGAAATCGATTCAAACTTGGTATTCGGGGGTTGTGGGGTCGGCAATTATGATTATTCAGTCAAAATTGAAAAATCCAAGATGGCGACTCCAATTTGTCCAACGAGTTCAGTTATTATGATCTGATTCTATTCAAACTCGTATCTGGAGTTCTTGGGGTTGGCAATTATGATTCTATTTTCAAAATTGTAAAATCAAAAATGACGGCTCGAATATGTCAGACGAGCTCTGAAATTCTGATTCGATTCTATTCAAAATTCGTATGTGAATGTTTTCAAGGTCGACAATTATGATTTTGTAATGTATATCGGGGAATTCAAGATTCCAGCTCCAGAATGACAGATGATCCATGTAAGTATGATCTGATTAGGAGTGCTTTGACTACTTCGGATATTCCAGCTGTTTTGGTACTTTTGTGAATCAGTCGTGATGACGGAAAACGCCCAGATGGAATGTGCCTCATCCCATGGAGTCACGGAAAACCTTCAGTATGAGACTTCACCTGCATAGATACAGTTGCTCCATGACATATCGATTCGACATCCAAAATCGCCGGAGGAGCAGCAGATTCAGCTGAAAAAATTACGTTGAGAAAATATTCTACTATGAGGGACCAATATAGTTTTCATAGTGTTGCCATCGAAACTTACGAGTCTTTTGCGTATTAATATCGCAATCCAAAGAGGAAATGCATCATCGATATTGGGTTTTATTCCTTGGATTGGATGGAACTTTTATTCGTCCACAAAAATTTTCGGAATTCTATACTCAGCTGAATGAAGCTTCAATTTGACGCCGTCCAGCTCCCTATCCGTCAATTCAAATTCGAATCCTATCCATCGCCAAACTAGTGATAGACACGATGATTGATACCTCCATCCGACCCCTCAGCAATCCGGACAGCATTGCCTTGAGATCGCAGTTGTTCTGAAACCAGGCCTTATCGGTTCGAAAAATATCACTTGTTTAATGAATAGCGTCTTTCAATGTCAGTCTCAAACTGAGTTGCTGTTGGAATATTTGGGGAAGAATGCTTACATCATTGGACAATCTGAAACATTGAATTCGAATAGATGCACAAGAATTTCTCTGTTTTCTGCTGGAAGGGCTGCACGAGGACGTCAACATGGTCGTAGATAAACCGAAGCCGAACTCAAATACTGTTTTGTCGGGCATTTCGAGTCTAATCTGAGATGCACCTTTTGTGACAATTGTTCGGAGACGTTAGACCCATTTTGGGTGTTGTCTATAACGATACCACAGCAGTCAGACCAACTCAAGTTGTCTCATTGCTTGGACTCGTTTATCAGTGTTGAGATTTCAGACGGCAAGGAGAAACCAACTTGCTCGATGAGTGAAGAAAAAAGAAGATGTTCGAAGTACTTATTCATCCAAGTTTCCTAAAACTTTGGTTATCAATCTGAAACGTTTCTCGCTGACTGAAGAGTTCAGTGAGAAACTGAACACAATTGTCGAGTTCTCCTCGATTGGCTTTGACATGGGCCTCTATGCAGCTGAAGACATCGTTCCATGTCCTTACAATCTGTACGCTATCTCAAATCACAGCGGTACTACCTATAGCGGAAACTACACAGCCTACTGCAGACATCTTTATACGAAAATTTGGCACGAGTACAATGATTTTCTTGTTTCTACAATTCCATGGAATTGTCTTGTCAGTGAGCATGCTCATATTATTTTTCACCATCAAGAGGCCCGCCCCAAATACGGATTCAACTACAGAGTTCGAGACGCCTCTACTGGTGACAACACCCAGGTAGCACAGGTTAGTGGAATGACGTCATTATGACGTCTTTTTTAGGTCATTATTGGTCAATGACGTCCTCGACTTCAGAGAGACCTAAAAATGACGTCATATTTCATGACGTCTTATTGACGTTCAATATTGGACGTCTTAATGACGTCCCTACAAAGTCGTATATTCGACCAAATAAGAAAAATCAGTCGCTTTCTTACTTTTTCATCGTTTGTTAATTGTACGTACTAAATTTGTGTTTGTATATAGAGTGTTTTCGTGAGTACTGATGAACAAATTTATTTTCAGCCAAATTATGCATTTTTGAGGAATCTGCTGAAAACGGTCGATTTTCATTTTCAATTTGCCATATATTTATGAGAAAAATTGAATATACATACATGACGATCCACGTTTTAGTTATGACCATAACGACAATTTTTTTGAATAGAGCACCTTATATATATATTACTCAATCTCTGGAATAACCACGGGAAGCGGAATTCGAAAATGTTTAACACAATCATGTGGATTGTATAGGTAAGTGCGTCCAATAAATTAGATGCTCTCGTGAAGTGGATAAATTCATTATTATCCAATATCTATTTATCTTATATATTTCTGAGAAAACAGGAGAGGCTTTTATTTCTAATTCGTCATTCATACGGAGGAATCATCAAATATACAGGATGATACACGTTTGTATTATGACGTACACGACACATTTTTCAAACGGACATATATTATTGAATTTTCGTAATCAAATGTATATCGCACAAAGGGTTTGTATACAGGGCGTTCGTTAAATTCAGTTCTCTCGTAAAATTGGATCGCCATTAAAATATATAGATGACGTAATTTCTCCTACACGAATCATTCTGTATATATTGATTTAATATGAGATAAAGCTTAAATGAAAATGAAATTCTACGGCTTCGAGCATTATTCTCTGAAAAAAAAAAATGTTTTTTTAATTTTCAACAAATTTATTCGAAACTTCGCAAAAGAACTTAATTCAACGAACGCACTGTATACAGACTCATATATTTTTGAATCCAGCTTTGAATAAAGACTCCAAAAATCGAATAATTTATAGGGTGTTCCTTTGAAAAAATGGTCGTGGACGTTGTAACTCAAACTTGAATCACCCTGTATATTCAATTTTTTCTCAATATTGTTGGTAATTTGAAATAAAAATCGACCTATTTTGGGAGATTCCTCAGCAAGGAATTGTATGGTTATAATAGTACATTGATTGCATGGCTACTTTATTTTCTTCACACGAGATGACTCAATTTAACGGACACACTGTATACAAACCCTATGTGAAATATATTTTCAAATTCAGATTTCCATGAATATTTCAAAAATTAAATGTATCTTATATAGGTTATTATTATTGTTTCCAATTGAAAAAATTGCCGCGGACGTCTTAACTTAAACGTGGATCACCCTGTATATATATGATTCTTACTTTCAAATGTGGCAAATCGGAAATAAAATCGACCTGCTGCAGAGGATTTTTCAGAAATGGATACTTTAGCTAAAAATAAGTTTATTAGCTTACATCTCGCCGACGCTCGCTACATAATTTTAGGTACAAATACGAGTAGCTAACGATATTCTCATATAAAGATTCATAGGTAGTAGCGATAGCGCTAGGATTCAACAGGACTGCCCGGGAGGACCATCAACCAA